CCAGTGAGGGGCTTGAACTCACGAACCGCGAGATCATGACCTGAGCCGAAGTCAGACGCTCAACCGACTGAGCCACCCAGGCGCCCCTGGTTTCTTTTATGAGAGAATAGTTTGTGCTGCTTTTTTTCTTTTTAATGTTTTTTAAAAAATTTTTTTAATGTTTATTTTTTGAGAGAGAGATAGAGTGTGAACAGGGGAAGGGCAGAGAGAGAGGGAGACACAGAATCTGAAGCAGGCTCCAGGCTCCGAGCTGTCGGCACGGAGCCCGACGTGGGGCTCGAACCCACAGACCGTGAGATCATGACCTGAGCCAGTTGGACGCTTAACCGACTGAGCCACCCAGGTGCCTCTTCTTATGTTTATTTTTGAGAGAGAGAGAGACAGAGAGACAGACAGAGCTCGAGCAGGGGAGGGGCAGAGAGAGGGAGACACAGAATTTGAAGAAGGCTCCAGGCTCTGAGCTGTCGGGAGGCCGATGCCAGGCCTGAAACCCCAAACCATGAGATCATGACCAGAGCCAGAGTTGGATGCCTAACTGACTGAGCCACCCAGACGCCCCAGTGCTGTTTTTTGAGATTGAGTTGTTTGCGTTGTCCTTGCTGAGTTGTGAGAATTCTTGACATATTCTGGCTGTGAATGCCTCGTGAGATACTTCATTACACATAGCGTAGCTGCTTGTGGTTTTAATGGCATCTTGACTAGTGGAAGTTTTCAGTGTATCAAATTTTTTTTTAGGTTTATTTATTTATTTTGAGAGAGAGAGAGAGAGAGAGGGAGAGAGTGCACGCAAGCAGGGTAGGAGCAGGGAGAGAGAGGGAGGGAGAGAGAATCCCAAGCAGGCTCCATGCTGTCAGCGCAGAGCCTGACGCGGGGCTTGAACCCGTGATCCGTGAGCTCATGACCTGAGCTGAAGTCAAGAGTTGGACGCTTAACTGACTGAGCCCCCCTAGGCGCCCTGTGTGTCAATTTTACAACCAGGTCGTCTGCTTCTCCAGAAGTTGCTGGGCTTGCACTGGGCACTACTCTGGAGTTGGCGGTTCAGTTTTGGGGGAAGGGCCACTTTAACAATGTGGAATCTTCTGTGAGCAGAGTTCCCCTTTTTTCGTCTTTACGTTTGCTCAGCAGTGTCTTACAGTTTTCAGTGTAGAGGTCTTACAAATCTTTCATTAAAGTTATTCCGGTGGGGGGGGGGGGCGTCTGGGTGGTTCAGTCGGTTAAGCGGCTGACTCTTGATTTCAGCTCAGGTCATGATCTCAGGGTTGTGAGTTCGAGCCCCACATCGGGCTCTGTGCTGGCAGGTTGGAGCCTCCGTGGGATTCTCTCTCTCCCTGTCTCTCTACCCCTCCTGAGCACACACTCTCCCTCTCTGCCCCTCCCCTGCTCATGAGTTCACTCTCTTTCTCTCTCAAAATAAATAAGTAAACATTAAAAAACAATTATCCCTAGGTATTTAGCTTTTACTGCTATTTTAAACGGCATTAAAAAAATTCATTTCAAAATGCTTTGTTGCTGACGTATGCAAATAGACTTCATTTTTGCCCATTGACCCCATGTGTTCTGACCTTGCTCAATCCACCTGAGTTCTAGAAGTTTCTATGTAAATTCCTTAGGTTAGTCTGTGTGTTAAATTGTGTGCTTGTGAATAGAGATGTTTTGTTGCGTTTCTAGTCTTTGTGCTGTTTTTTTTCCTGCCCTGTGGTGCTGGCCGAGCCTGGACTGAGTACTGGAGGGAAGTGTCTTTCACCTGTCCCTGCCCTTCTGGGGTCCTCAGTGTCGCACCGCTCGTCTGGTGGCCGCTGCAGGGCGCACACCTTCCTGTACCCTTGGGTCTCCTGACATCAACCACGTGTGCTGCCGAACGGACTGCGCCACGGAGAGGTTGCTCCCTGGGTCTGAGAGAGCACGGGGTAGTTGATGCTTGGAGGCGGGCGTGCCCCGCTGGCCCCGGGACTGTGAGCCTGAGGGGGTCTTGTGGGGAGGGACAGAGGGGGGAGAGAGAGGGAGAGAGAGAGAATGGATCCCTGCCAAGCAGGCTCTGTGCCGACTGTGGAGCCCGATTCGGGGCTGGAGCCCACGACCCTGGGATGGTGACCTGAGCTGAAATCAGGAGTCAGGTGCCCAGCTGACTGACACGGCTTGCTAACCTGTCAGCTAATATTTGTAGAGGATGTTTGTGTCTGCGTTCATGAGGGAAATTGGCCCGACGATTTCCTTTTTCTACGCGGAGTTTGCCTTACGAGGCTTTGTGTCCCTCTGGTTTGAGCACCGGGGTAAGGCCAGCCTCATTGGTGTCCCTCGTTCCTACACGTGTCAGGTCTTGGTTATTTGTGTGTTTCAAGGAATTTGTTCATTTCATCTAAGTTTGAAATCATAGCGTCCGTGTTTTATATGGTCTACAGCCGTGACGTCTCCCTTGACTTTCTGTCCGCGTTGCATCGCGATTCAACAAGGGTCGTGTCTTGGGTTCGTTGGTGTATTTTTGTGCCCCTTTTAGTCTGTAGGCTCCCCCTGTTTGTTGAAGAAACCCCCTTGTCTTGCGATCAGTTAACTCGCGAGATGATAGTTGCCTTTAGGGGCCTCTGGGTGGCTCGGTCTGACTCTGGATGTCCGCTCAGATCGTGATCTCATGGTTCATGAGGTCGAGCCCTGCTCTGT